TGGTGTCTCTGCTCACTCACTCACTCACAGGCATGACGCCAATTGTCCACCCACTGCGCTGATCAACCGAGCGGCTCCATCTAGCTGTCCTGGTGCGCAGTTAACACACAGCACACAGCACAGAGGCCTTCATGTCTGCATCTCTCTCTCTGGTGTCTCTGCTCACTCACTCACTCACAGGCATGACGCCAATTGTCCACCCACTGCGCTGATCAACGGAGCGGCTCCATCTAGCTGTCCTGGTGCGCAGTTAACACACAGCACACAGCACAGAGGCCTTCATGTCTGCATCTCTCTCTCTGGTGTCTCTGCTCACTCACTCACTCACAGGCATGTCACCAGACTGGCGGACCGGTGGATGTTTTTTAATGTGAATGTGTGTTCTACCCATGGCAGCTGAGCTGTAATGTCATTACACCCACACGCCGAACTAAGGTCATGCCGCCCATGTGAGTGCACTCCACCACAGCCATCCCATCAACATATTGTGCCATTGATTTCACCCGACACACGATTCGTCACCAAGCGTGCCCACGCCCACAGCACTGCGCAGCCAACAAACCCACAGCCCACGGCTCACAACCCCATCCCGCAAACAAACAACCATGTCTTGTTCATGATACCTTTGTCCACGGAATGGCTTTGAGATGTCTCTCCACCTCATCAAGAGCCTGCATCACACCTGAGTCAGCCGCCGGCACGCCACCCAAGTACACACATGGCTGCGACCCGCTCTTGAGACAACACACGCCACACGTCAGCAACTGGCACGACAATATACGGGGCACATGAGACACGCAGGGATATCCAGCTGTGCTCAGACCACAACCCACCGCAGTGAGGAGGAGGGATGTGGTGAGGAGGGGCGTCTCGTCCTCTTCGGATTCGCTCGAATCAGCAAAGGGAAGGGGCGCAAACATCACACACACGGCCTGCATTGACGAAGAGGTGGATGGAGACACGAAGCCGGATGGGCGTGGCAGCGAGAGCCGTTTCGTCTGATGGGCGGACTGACCTTTGTAATGTGCGGCGAGATGGCTTTGATGGCCTGTGCCGGGCCCACTGCACCTGCAGCCTCCCGCATAGCCCACAACAAACCCCCCTGAGGGATGCATACATACAGACAGACACCGAAAGAACCTTCGTGGACAAGCGGCCCATGGGCAGATCGATTGTGTTGTGTGCGCCCACCTTGCCGGATTGGCCGCTCTCGCCTTGCTGTGCCTCAGCCAGTGGGGCAAGGAACAGCGGCACATCTGGCAGGTCAGTCTGCGCAAGAGTGCAAGAACAAGACACAGAGAAAGGGATGTTATCCACTGGTCCTGGACAGCAATGTCTCTCGCGTATCTATCGCATGAATGCGATGCGTGGCTGTCTGTTGCTTTGCTCGACGAGAGTGCGTCGATGGTTTCTGTGTCGTGTGGGTGTGTGGGCTGGATGAGGCAGCCCAGCCCCTTGGCTGCTTCATGGACAGACACAAACGTCTTGACCTGACGTGACGCCACGGCACAAAGGCAATTAAACGAAGCGGAAGAGCATGTGCACATACAAGAGAAGAGGTGTGTATGTGCCTGTAAGTATGAGGCTCTGAAGCGCTCAGAGAGGGTAAGGTGGCAACTGAAGAGGCAGATGAAGCATCGAAATGCCGCAAACCGATCCCTTTTCGTGTGTCTGTTGTGTGGTCGCTCTTGTGTGACGCTTCCCTGAGGCCTCAGGACACTCACGATGCAGCCCACTGGTGCGGCGCCCTCGTCCCGTCCCCCCAGCCCTGCCCTCTTCCAGCCCGCCGACCTCTTTGACCTGTCATTGCCCATCAGCAAGATGGCCGCCATGGCCATGGCGACTGACGATGCCAAACGAGCCGCTCTCCTCTCGCAGATCGTCACCCGCACTCGGCAACAGGAGCTGCTGGGCCACACTGCGGAGACCGTCAATGGATGTGCTGCTGGACGGCGTTGAGCAGCACCTCGACAAGGCCCTCGGTCGTCTCGGCCTGGCGGACGTGTTGGCCTTCGACATTGGCGGTGATGTGGAGGCCGGCTTGAAGGTGGTCTATGTGCTCGACAAGGCCGAAATGGAAATTTACTTCCTGGCTGTTGAGGCGGGCTGCCCGGTCGGAGACCTCGTGAGTGTGTTCCTTGAGTTTCTCTGCGCATGTGGAGCGTGCGTGGGTGATTCGTTGCGTGTCGTGCGTTTGATTGAGGGTGAAAGACACCGGGGATCCGAGATGCCTAGGACATTGCGTGAAACTGCTCGCCATCATCATTCCCCCATTGGCTTGTGTGTGACTTCTTCGGCCATCATTCCAATCCGTCATCCGATCATCTCAGCAATCTCATTCATTGCCTGAGTGATTCCCTTCAGCGAGGATGGGAGGCAAAGTGAGTCGTGATGTGATGCTAACCCCCGCCCCCGAGCCCTCCTCGTTCATCGCCATATGCACCAAGACAAGCAGAGGCCTTTGCTTGCTGCACTTCCCGGCCGGGCTGCGCGAGAAAGCCATCGCTGTCGTGAGAACCCATTGGACAGAGGGCGGGAACGTCAGTGTGGAGCAGTTCGGGGGATGCACCAAGTGGGCAAATGGAAGAGAGAGACCTCAGAGTTGTCATTGCACCGGGTGGACATGGATGAGTGTGTGTCTGTCAGGTTGAAGCTCGGGAGTGGGATGTTCAGCACCCCGTGGAGAAGCACAAACACGGTCGGTGCGGCAGGGAGGGGTGGTTGCATATGTGTCCCTTTCTGTATGTGTGAGCGTGACTGTGTGTGGTGTGGACTAATGCAGGACGGTTGTGGGACTCGTGTGAGCATCGCCAGGATGCTGGCGGCCCTGCTGCACACGCTGGCGCAGGACGTGATCATCTTGAGGCGACGCGATCCTCTGCCATCCGCCCCCCCGATGTACATCAATAAACCGACCGAGGAGGACCAATATCCGTCTTCGTTCCTCTACCCGATCGTCGCCCCTCCCCCGTACACACCGTCCCACCAGCAGCATCAGCAGCAGCAGACCGAGCCCTACTTCGCCATCGGCCTCAACGACAATGACACTTTGCGGCTGATCCAGGCGCCACCCGCCCTTGTGGACGCCATTCCGTCGCTCATCCAGCAGTTCTGGGGGGGATCGTTCAAGCGCGAAGATCGAAGAGCCAACACCAACAGCCAGGTGAATGTGGTTCAGGGGACAGACAGGACGGGCCTGCTAGCGGGCAGGAGCCAGCCGGCGGATGTGGTGGACTTCCGTTTCAATGGGTCGCCATGGCATGCGAACGGAGACGCGGCTGTTACTGCACGGCAGGTACGCCCCGCCGAGATGCGGGGCATTTCCATGTACCCATCTCTCTGTCTGTCTGTCTGTCTGTCTGTGTATGTCAGCTGATGTGTGGGCTGTTGACCCATTTGTGGCAGCTCAACTACGACCTGCTGTGTGCAGTCTCCCTGAACACCAGCTGCGGCCTCTCCACACTCGTCATGGGAAAGAGTGAGGGCATCCAGGGCGACGGGCGGGATCTCATGGCCCTGGCCATGAGCCGCAACGACACACTGCGGCTCTTCAATGCGCCCCAGGGCACACCTGCTGTAGGTGAGTGGGCCGACGTGCCACAGGCGCGCAGGGGGTGATCAAGAACATGAACTTGTTGCTATCCACCAGTGCGTTCGTGCATTGAGCGGCATTGGACGAGAGGCATCAAGTCGACGATGGACAGTGTCAGGGGGGCCACGGCCATCCCCTGCATGGAGTTCCGGATGAACGGAAATCCTTGGTACGCAACCCCCCCACCCCCACCCCACCCCGCACACACACAGACACACCCCTCACCCCAACAAGCATGTGCTCTCTTGTGTGCCTTTCTTTTGTTTGCCAACTCCCACCGTGTGCAGGTGGTGTTCCAAGTGGCATATGGCGTCCACCGAGGCGCGCAACATGATGGCGGCCATCCTGGAGGACCTCATGCAGAGGGGCTGGCTGCCATGGGGCAAGGCCGCCGGCAGCATCAACATGACCGTCAAAGAGGCCGACACGTCCTTTATGGTCTTCACACGAAAGACGGACGATGATTACCACGGCAGCCGACGAGCCACTGGTCCGCTGATATGGGTCGGCCTGTTTGACCGACACCTGGTGCGTGTGGGGGGGCCGGGGAGCGTCGTGCCTCAGCCGCCGGTGCTGGAGGCCATCAGGCGCGCCCTGCAGTACTGGCCCACACAGAAACCCCCATACGAGCAGGTCGATCACCGGACCACCACACACACACAGAGAGAGAGAAATGTACCCACTCGGCTGCTTTTCCCCTTGTGTGCCTCCCTCTGTGCTGTGTGTATCATCAGGGGCGTCTGTCATGCTGGGAGTTTCGCCTGTCTGCCGGGTCGCCTTGGGACAGCCGCAACACCGACTGCGTGCATGCCTGTCACGTCGTGATGCGGCTCTTTGACGAGATGTATCGGTGCGGGTGGGAGGTCTGTGCGGCCGTCGACATGGCCAAGGCGTTCTCTGAAAACGATGAGGGGCCGGCGAGTAAGATAGACTGTGACACGTGGTTCTTTCGACAGAGAGGGGGAGAGGGAGGCTGGGGTGCAAAAATGGTGAGCGGGGCGCAGTGACTGTCTTTTGGTCTCTAGGCTAGTGGACGGGACAGGGCAATGGATGTTTGCTTGGTCTGGGTGAAAATATTCAAATGAAGACAGAAGGGTCTATACCACTCAAACCAACACGGTCATCCATGCCCCCATCCAACACACACAGAGTGCTATATTGATGAAAGCCTGAATGACAGAGGCGTGCATTTTGCCCATCGAGAGACACGGGGCTCGTTCATTCGCATGTGCCATTGACACAGACACACGTCAGTCACGCCATGCCTCACTCACCAGACAGACATACACAGGATGCAGCCAACGGAATGCACACAGAGACCCATGCAAGCAGACGGGCACAGAGGAAAAACCCGTCGCCCAGCTGTCTGTCGGTCTGTCTGTCTGTCTGTCTCCCCTCTCATTAGCCGCCAAGCAACCCTCTGTCTGTCGTGGATGGAAAATCGACATATCGGCAAAGCCCCCGATCACATCACAGTGCGGGCCGTACCTTCCCTGTCCTCATTCTCCTCCCGCCAGACCATTCCCCCCAGCTGATCCCCCAGCACTCTCATCACAACAGTGCACGTCTTGTCGTGGGGGGCCGGCTCGGTCGTGAAGATATCCACCCAGTAATTCCCCCACTCGCACAGCTGAATGACCGCCATGTGCCCCTCGCTCATCGCCTCACTCCCCAGCACCACCAGCCGCCACTGTGAAGACCGCTCCCAACTGTGGCACTTCCTGTCGACAGCCCCCGCTCCCCAGTGTGCCTCATCGCTGGGAGGGGCCACCAGCACCGCACCCACACGCCGGCGTGCAGCAGAGGCACGACAGTAAGACACCCAGGACCTGATGTAACGGATGTGGCCGCCGCGTTCGAGCCAGTAGAACAGGACGAATGCCACCATTGATGTGTAGCTGGAGTACGTCGAGGGGCCTGTCAGCTCAGTGGGTGGGTCGGCGGGGTCGAATGCGTCAGGGAAGACGGGGCTGGCAGAGGGGATGAGGGTGGGGCGACGGTGGGACATCGACCCAAGGGGGAGAATGTAGTCGCCGTTCATCAGCTCTATCTGTTGGCCTCCATGATCAGTGACAGTGACCCCCCAGCTGAATATCTTCCACTGCCGGACGGCCTCCCTCTCATCCAGAAAGGCCGCCCGGCTGCCGAAGACGCCGAAGCTGTCGTCACTCAGCACCACAGGCCTCATGCCCCTCAGCAAGTACAGCATCTCCAGGTGAGGCCGCCATCTGGCCCAGTCGCCGCCCCTCTCGAGCATAAACAGTCGGCGTGTGAGCTGTTCGATGAGGGCAGTGATGACCACACCTTGAGTCAGCTGAGGGAGGGGCACCTCCACTAAAGCGCCAAAGATGGCGGCCACCACAACGGACAGGCGCCGCTTGAGGATGGGCAGGAGGACGGCGGCGGTGAATTGGGTGGGATGGGCGTCGATGAGGGCCTCCAGCTGTGAGTAGCTCCTGACGTACTCGGCGACCGTCGGTAAGAGGTGTTGCGGCACATGAGAGGCAGGGACAGCAGCTGATGCGTCAGACGATGTCTGTAACATCAACACAGACAGACAGGCATCATGTCGGCTGGTGGTGCTTTCTTTCTCTGCTTGCCTCACCCGCTCCGCGAATAAGCCCTTCAGCCATCGTGAACATCGCCCGGTGAGATGGACCATCGGCTCGGGGATTGGTCCATCTCACCTGTGAGTGGAAGATCTGCCACAGGCGCACCGAGAAGCCACACACACTGTCATTATGTCCTGCGCGGAGCTCAGACAACAGAGGAGGGCACGTGCCCGTGTAACTCGAATTCCAAGCTCGCAGATCCCTCGCCCTTGGATTCGTTCTCCCCCCCGTGCCGTGATGTCTTGCGAGTACCTCACAGTCAGCTGTGCGCCTGTTGTATTGGTGGCAAGCACTGATCTTTGCTGACCGAGCCGCCCTTCTTCGCTCGTCGTCGTGTGTCGGGCCGCCGCGCCCAGCCACCATCATGCCGCCAGACCGCACGTTCCTCCAGGGTACCGCCAACGGTGAGGCCTTCTCTGACGCCCAGTCATCGTCGAGCACCTCCGCTGAGCGTTCGCCAGGGGCCACTCCTCACTCCTCTGTGGCAGAAAGTTCATCAGGAGCCATGCAGAGACAGAGACGCTCGACCACAATCGGTGCCGAGACGATGGAGAACGTCCTTGACGGTGCGCACACGACAACAGACAGAGAGGCATCACGTCCAGGTCTGTCACTGCCACATTCGTGTGTGTGTCGTGTGTGCCTCTCCGTTTGACACAATGCAGATTACAGACGCGAGCGCGATGCTGCCCGGGCTGAGCGCGACGCTGCACGGGCCGAACGCGATGCTGCCCAGGCCGACCTGACGAGGATGCGTGCGCGGCAGACGCAGAATGACGACGTCACCCTGCAGACGAGCATCCACCAAAACGGTCAATATTTCGGCGGCACGGGCGCCAACGGACAGCCTGAGGGGACGGGCGTGCTGATGTCACCGGATGGGGCGATGACAGTCTATTTCGGCCAGTGGCAGGGCGGCGCACGACACGGCAGGGGCAAGCACTTCAGCGAGGGCACACTTGTCTATGACGGCGAGTGGAGCGACAACACCCGGCACGGCCTGGGGGAGGAATTCGACGCCAAGGGGCAGCTGAGCTACACTGGCGGCTGGGAGAAGGGCAGGCGCCATGGTCGCGGGGCGGAATCCACTAACGGCAAGGTGACCTACACGGGCGGCTGGAAAGATGGCGAAAAGAGGGGCTTTGGCGAGGCGACGGGCATGCGATGGGAGGGCCAGGCATACCACGGCCCCACCGTCGACGGCGACCCACATGGAGAGGGAGAGCTGCGATGTGGAGCCGTCACCCGGTACAGAGGTGGCTGGAGGGGGGGCAAGCGGCACGGCTGGGGGCGACAGCTCTGTGCATCTGGCGGGCTGCTCTATGAGGGCGAGTGGGCCAACGGAGAGAGGACCTACAGAGGAGAGGCCAGGGTGGGCCGGATGAAGGTGTCGGGCGGCCACTACTGCGGCCTCACGCGCGACGGCGAACCACACGGCGAGGGGGAGCTGCGAGATCCCTTGTCCGATGACCTCATCTATGCCGGCGGATGGAAGGACGGCTACAGGCACGGTCGCGGGAAGGCATACAAGAAAGCTGGCAGCCCTGTGGTGTGGTTCGAGGGGGAGTGGATGGGCGGCAAGGCGCACGACGGCAACCTCTTTCCTGGCGGGGCCCTGACCAGACGGAAGAAGGCTGACGGCACTCCTCACCATCCCATCACACCAATACCATGGCGACAGGGGGAGCCGCTACCCAGCATCAACATAAACAAGCTTCCGGGGGGCTTACGACGGCAGACACTGCATGAGTGGCTGCAGCGGCGGGAACTGACGGCCTTCCTGGCTCCACCGGCGGTGAACTGGGGCAGTGCTGGGGGCGCAGCTCCTCTAGCTGACTGCGCAGCTGCTGCACCTCCCTCTCAGGAGCCAGCTGCACAAGAGTGAGGGAGGGAAGGGGAGGGCGACAGGGGGGAGGGAGGGGGGCCATGAATCCGGAGCTCCTTTTCTATGTCGATTGCCTCTGCGCTGTCTGTCTGTCTGTCTGTGTGTCTGTCTGTCTGTCTGCTGTGAGTGTAGATGTGAGTGTACCATATTGATGGCCCCTCCTGGCCGTTGTTACATGTATCGCCCGTGCGGCGACGAGGGGACGTTCCTTCTCGTCGCCTTTTTCCTCTGTGCGCTGCCGTTATGGCGGTCATTTGTCATACGACCTGCCGTGGGCTCGTGCCGTGTTTGTGTGTGTGTGTGTGTGTGTGTGGCCGTTGGCGGCCTTCTTTGTCGAAGGAGAGGAGAGAGTGTTTGTGAGACTGTCTGCAAGAGCTCGCCGTGTACGGCTTGTCGGCCTTAGTGCACATGAATGCACAACTGCCGATTGCATTGGCCAGAGAGTGGCAGAACGATAATTTTGGCTCTTCGATGGACGCGACAGTTTTTATCGATCTCATTACAGAGAAGGCGGCGGTTCAATGTAGAGGACCCCTGTATGTGCGTGTGGGACCCCGCGCAACTGGCCTATACACACAAACAGACAGACAGACAGACAGACATGAGGGTTGGGAGGGGTAGCGCGGGAGGCAGGGAGGGTGACTCGTCAATGTGGCTCATCTGTTATCTTTTGGTGAAGTTCTTATTGATGCTGGCACTCCATAGAGACACATACACTCCCTTGAGCCGCCGGTGTTGTTTCGCGCCGGCGGGTGCTTTGATGGGATAAACAAGATATTCATATGAGTGTCACGGACACACAAACGAGTATTACGGTCAATGCAAGTCTCTCAAATGAATAAGAGTTTCGCGGTCGCTGTTGGCAATATATGGAGCGAAAGGCACGCACACACGCAAGCGATTGGCCACACACATGCACAGACAGGGACATTCAGGCAAACAAACGTAAGCGAGCGGGACGACGTTGGTTCGTCAATGTGGTGCCATCAAGGGTGTTAGCTTACCTTTTCACTGTCTTTCATTTCGTTTATCCAAAGCACGGTGTTCCATTAAGATACACACAGGTCAGTCACGCCATGCCTCGCTCACCAGACGGACATTCCCAGCAAGCAGACGGGCAGAGAACAAAAATCCTTTGTCTGGCTGTCTGGCTGGTTGTCTCCCCTTCAGCTAACCGTCAAGCACACCACCACACGTGCATCCCCCTGTCGTGGATGGACAATCGACACACATGGTAAAGCCCCTCGATTACATCACAGTGCATCTGCACTTATTGGCCGTCGCTCGCCCGTCGTCAACCTCCCACGACCACTCCATGTCCCACACCTGCTCCCCCAGCACTCTCGTCACGACGGTGCGTGTGTGGTCGTGGGGGCCCGACTCGGTCGTGTAGATGAAAATGTCCCGTCGGATCTCCCGATCGACCAGCTTAATGAGTGCCATGTGGCCGTCGCCCATTACCTCACTGCCGAACACCACCAGCCGATCACACCCCCCACTGATCAGCGGCTTCTCGAACACGGTCGCCCCCGCCGCCCACTGTGTCTCATCACTGGGAGAGGCTGCCAGCAGCTCCCACACACGCCGGGATGAAGCAGACTCAGGACTGTCAGACCACCAGGATTTGATGCAAGGGATGTGGCCGCGTTGGAACAGCCAGCCGACTAAGACGAAGGCCACCATTGATGTGTAGCTGGGGTGGGTCAAGCCGCGCAGTTTAGTGGGCGGGTCGGCGGGGTCGAATGCGTCAGATACAGGGGGACTGGTCGCGGTGAGGAGGGTTGGGAGATCGTGGGACATCGAGCTAAGGGGGAGAATGCCGTTGCCATACATCAGCTGTCTCTGTTGTTCTCCATCAGTGACAGTGATCCCCCGGCTGAGTATCTTCCACTGCCGGACGGCCTCCGTCTCACTCACAAAGGCCGCGCGAGTGGCGAACACACCGAAGTCGTCGCCACTCAGCACCACAGGCCTCCTTCCTTGCAGCAAGTACAGCATCTCCAGCACTGGCCGCCATCTGTCCCAGTTGCCGCCTCTCTCGAGGATGAAGAGCCGACGTGTGGTGGCCACAATGATGGCCGCACCTTGAGTCAACTGAGGCATCGGAACCTCCACCAGACCGCCGAAGATGGCCTCCACAACGACGGGCAGCAGTCGTGTGAGGATGGGCAGCAGGACGGCGGCGGTGAATTGGGTCGGATGGGCGTCGATGAGGGCCGCCAGCTGTGAGTAACTCCTGACGTACTCGGCAACTGTGGGCACCGCCTCTTCAGGCTCATCAGCGGCACTGATAAGGCGACCATACTGATGCTGCTGGTGGTGCTGACTGCCACACGACACACTGCTGGCACCTGCAACACAATCACACACACACACAGAGACCTAGCTGTGCCTGCCCTTCTGCAGCGATGCCGCCCCCACCATCGGCAGCTGCAGCCGATGCAGCGGATGACGATACGCTAGATATGGGAGGGCCGTCACGAGCAGTTGACATCTGCAAGAAACAAGTGAGACCACTCATAGTTTCAAGTTGGCCCCGCTTTTCCTTCCCTCACCTTTACTGTTTCTTGCCAGCCTTGTGAGTCACAGATCTGTCACAACACACACACACAGGAACCACACAGGCTGTCATTGCTGATGCCCTCCTGCCCTCCTGGGTGCCCTCCCTCACCTCAGTGCGTCCGAACGGCGTCACGAGTAGAGATGGTGGAAGTATCTCGGTTGATCGATAGAATCACAACGGGTCCCTGGGCATCTCACAGCCAACACACCACGGCCATGTTTCTTGCAGAAAAACGGAAGAGATCTGCAAACCAAGCTCGCTGCCCGATATATCGCTCGTTCAGCTCAAGACCGCTGATTGCAGGTAAGAGGGCAGCGAGAGAGAAGCAGAGAAAGCCTGGAAAAGCTTTAAACACTGTGCCTTCGTGTCGGGTTGACACCTCAGCACAGCGATGATGCAGCCCACCGGTGCCGCGCCCTCATATCGTCCCCCCAGCCCTGCCCTTTTCCAGCCCGCCGACCTTCTTGATATCGCCGTCAGCAAGGCGGCCGAAATGGCAATGTCATCTGACCCCAACAGACGAGCCGCTCTCCGCTCGCAGATCAACGACAGCGACCTCGATGATGAGGACGTCATGCTTGGGCACGCCAGCCGCCGCGTGGATGAGCACATCAGTCGTCTCGGCCTGGCGGACGTGTTGGACTTTGACATTGGCGATGATCTGGAGGCCGGCTTGAAGTTCGTCTATATGATAGAGCGGGGCAGTGGCGAGGAGTGGCGGGCTATGGGGCGGTTCCTTCGGCTGGCCTTCATCTACCGACTGACCCCTCTCAATGCGGCCCTGCCTCTCCGTCTGTCGGCCGACGCGCTGCCCACAGCAACGGCCTTCTACCAGCTCCCACTGTCCATGGCCACCTACAAGACCTTCGGCCACCTGCTCACATACAGAGGGACCAGCCTGGCGCTGCAGCAAGCCGATGACAACGGGGACTATCGCATCGGCAATTCTGTGACGTTTCGTGTGGTGCCCTTCGGTGAACTGCCGGGCGGCCATCGCTATGCTGAGAGCTACAAGCGGACTGACCCCGCCATCCGCTGGAGCGGCAATCTCTACCCCTCATTCTCGGCATTCCTGGACCACATGCTGATCCGCTGGTGGGACCGTGAAGCCGGAGTAGGCCGCAGGATGGTGCTGTCGGCACGCATCGGCCGTGCTAATCGCTATCGCTGTCTGCTGAGGACTGAGGGCATAACAGAAGACCAGGGCATCGCTGTCGACCATCGCAGCGGTGGGGGCGAAGGGCGTCGTCATGTGGTCGTAAGCGGCTTCCGGCCCGGCGAGACCGTCGCTGCCCATCTGCGGGTGGGAGATGGCCGCGTCGAGCTGTACACGACCGAGGCACCTGTGGCTGATGGGTCTAATCCGCCCGCCCAGCGCTACCCTGTGTCGGTCGGTGCCGCCCGCCGTCTGCTGCGGCCATTCGGTCTCGAGAGTGACGTCATCGACAGGGGGACGGTGGTGGGATGAGGTACGGTGGCTGGCGATTTGGTGTAGCTGGTTCATCCAATGGGTGAAGAGGGTCTGTCTGTCCACCTGACAAGCAGTCTGGAAGGTGGCTGGATGCATTTGGATGGGTTTTGTGTCCACCGCACACTGTGACTAAATGCGTGGGGGCTTCGCTGATAAGGATGAGGTCGATTGACTCATGCCCACTCCCTCTGAGTGGGTGAAGCGAAGCGTGTTGTCTACGTGTTGGTACTGCGATGGGCTCTGTCAATTGTGCCTGAATATGTCATCACATTTCCCCCTCATTAGAATACGAAAAGTCTCCTCATACGTTAATCAGTCAGTCCGGTATCCATCGACAAGCTATGTGCATCACCGATATGAACAGGCAGAACGAAAAACCAGTCGCTCGGTCGGCCGGTCTGTCTCCCGATACTTGCTGCGGCGAGATTATCCGTCCATCCATCCGCGTCAGCTGCTAACCTGACGGACAGACAACCACAAACAACACGGAGCCCCATAAACAGCCATTCCTCCCTCTCTCCCTCCCTTCCTCCCTCCTCCCTGACACTTACATACCTCTTGTGCCGCTCTCTTGGCCTTCACTTTGACCATGCCGTCCTCCACGGCCCACTCGAGGCGAAACCACACGACGTCGCCGTTGCCGTGCCGCTGAGTGATGGTGCTGCTGTGGACGTTGTGCTAGGTCATGGCCCTCTGGACACACTCGTTGCGCTGGACGTACACGTGCAGCTCTCGCAGGCCTCGCAGCTGCAGCAGAGATGTGACGGTCGGGCGGGCACGACACACTGATGAGTCACACACACACAGAGGCAGATAGAGAGAGGCACAGTGTCTCTCTGTCTGTCTGTCTGTCCGTGTGATCTGCCCTTCACTGGCCCACCATCCAGTTTGATAATCATGTATTCGACGGCCGGCAGGCGCTCCGCACTCTGGCCCCACTGCAGTCCCTCCTGCCCCACCCCCGTCAGCTCCATGTGCACCGCCTTGAGCTTCTTGTCGCTGCCCAGCGATACCAGTGCGGCCATCCCCGCCGCCTCTGAGATGTTGCGCAGGTCGAGGTCGAGCCTGCGCATAGTCAGCGATAGCTGCGCCTCTGTCGTGGTTCGCCCCCACACAGCCTCCCATGGCTCCGCCTCGATGCAGAAGCCCATCAGAATGCTCGAGGGGCAGCGGCACTCGACCATCTGCTTGAAGGCGGCTGCAATCGATGTGCTGGGGAAGTCATAGCTGATGGTCAGCTCGTTGAGTGGGAGGTTGAGCAGGGACACGAGGCTCGCATAGGCGAAGTCGAGCGACCTGCACGGGTCAGACACTGAACCAGCAAACGATAAATGACGAAGCGGCTGGCTACCCAACCATGCGCTTTCTCACTCACCTTCGAAGTAGAAGTCTTTTTTGTGTGTGTGAGTGGTGAAGCGGGCCACGGCGCCCGGCACCGATACCGGACGCCACTTGGCCAACACCGGCCGGTCAGCATAGAGCCTGCTGCCCTGTAGCAGCAGCCACGTCGCAGCGCGCTCGTGCACACGACTCACGCCGGGTAGCTGGCCCCGGATGGATGACGCCCTGATGGCCGTCACTGTCACATTGCCTCCACTCCGACCGTCGTCCTCCTGAAAGATGTGGAAGCCGTTGGCGTGGATGGGGCAAACCACGTTGCCGCACTTGATGGCGCGGAGCTCCAGCTCTTCGAGCCCACGCAGCTGCACAAGGGACTCTACCATGCCGGCGACGAAAGGTCCTGCATGCGTATGGATGCACAACACACACACACAGGTGACCCATGCCCTCTGCCTCCCCCGTCTCTCCCCCTCACCCTTGATGGCGATGTGTGCAGATTCTACTTGTGGAAGGTCGGCCGCTTGCTGGGCCCACCGCTGGAATCCATCGGCCTCATGCAGCTCCATGTGAAGGCGCTTGAGGTGGCCCTCCCTGCCAATGGCCCTTAGGAGTGCGATCGCATCTGCCTCCCGAATGCCCTGCACCCGCAGCTCGTCAGGCAAACCCTTGGCCGACAAGGCCTCCAGGACCGAGGTGCTTGCGGGTGGCCCTGACATCGGCGGCAAATGGCTTGGGGGGAAGACAGGTCCGACAGGACACGACGCCACGTCAGGGATGATGTACAGCCGCGTTGCCTGCTCGAAGGCGAGCTGGCCTGCAACATCCCTCATGCCGTCGCTGATGGCCGCTCTGCAGCGAGGGTCCCAGACGACCTCTGTGGCGAGCTTGGACATCTCGATCAGCTTGTCCTTGACAAAGGGGGAGGGGCAGGCGGAGGGATCAGCACGAAGCAGGTAGAGGTCGAAGCGGCTGTATCGCTCCCTGTCCTTCTTGAGTGTGATGGCTGCGTCAGGGGCCGCAAGGCGCGAGCCTCTGATGAAGCGCTCGAGCACGCCCATGGCCTGCACACTCATGGCATCGACGAACGAAGAGGTGAGACGGAAGCTGATGGCCTTCAGCGGACGGCACCCACACTCATCCACGGCAGCCTGAAGCATGCAGAGGAGGCAATGGACGAATTCCCTCTGTGCCCAGGGAAGCACATCGCTCTCTCTCTCTCTCTCTCTCTCCATTCCCTCTCGTACCTGCAGCAGCTCGAGAGTGTTCTCTGCGCTGCTCGGTTGCTGCAACAAATCGATGCCGATGCTCTCGAGACCCGCGAGTGGGCCCTCGCGGCCCTCGTGTCGCCCGGCTGCCGTTGCGGCGGCCTTGGCGGCCTGGACGAGCTGCTGGAAGTTGACCGCCGACATGTCATCCACTGAGAGCTCCTTGAGGCGGGTGGCTGAAAGGATGAAGTGGACTAGCACGTCGACGTATGTCAACGGCTGATGGCGGGTGGATTCCCATGAGGCTCTGGAGGCGCTGCCAGACAGATGCTCCAGTGCAGATGTCCGCCAGTCCCTCGTAGCCAAAACGCGGTGGGCAGGGACGAGCCCCCGGATTGACTTGAGAGCCGGCAGGTGCACGGGGGAAGGGGCGCAGCGAGGGGCGAAGTCGAAAGGGGCCAAGTGGTCAAAATAAAAGTAGTCACGACCGTCTCCCTCCCAGCTGATCGTCTCCAGGCTGCCCTGTGGCTCCCAGTCACGAGGACGACCTGCCACCATCCCCCTCTGACGCCGCTTGTCCTCCTCCGTCTTCATCTCGTATGCCGCTCTGCCCTCGGCGTGGCTTTCTATGACGGCCACCACCTTCTCCAGGAGCCACTCCTCTCGATGATCGGGATGGCGGTGGCCCACATGCCGCAGGTTGAGACTCCGCTCCCCCCACTTGTGTGCGATGGGCCGTGGCATCCGCTCCCACATCTGGCGCGGTCTCTCGGCGGTCGAGTCGATGACCAGGTGGGTGTAGTTGGCGGCAGCGTGGAGGAAGAGAGACGTCCCGATGGCCGGCCGCAGCCGAGTCAGCTCCCACGGCTGCCAGTTGGCAAACACACACGACAGCTCCGCCGCGGACAGGCGACAACGGGCCTGCACAGCAGAGAAGGTCATGGTTGATTGGCTCATTCATTCTTTGTGTGTTGCGTTGTGAGCTGTGTGGCGAGAGCAGGTAGTTACCGGTGGTTGTTGTTCTGTGGTCAGTTGGCGGCCAGTGGTGCTCACGAGGCGATAGGACGGCCTGCCCCCATCAGGTGGATGCTGATCGGCAAAGCGCACAGCGCATAGATGACGGATGGAGTGAACAATGACGTATCGCCTCGTGGATCCATTATACCTGCGGGTCAGGGAGAGCTGATGGCGATGAGGCACTTTGAGCCGACATGGTGCTTCCGGCTCCATACGCTGCCTGCAGAGGCGAAGAGAAGCAAAACCACACAGATGATTCATCAACAGACAGAGGCACCCTGGGCCCTGTGCTGCTTTCGCACCATACCTGTAAAGTGGCTATGGAGGCATGCTCTCCCAACGCGTCGCAACACACCACGCGCAGCAACGACAGACAACGACACCGCTATCTCTCACACGGCGGCCAGGGGATGCCTGATAGAACCAACACAAGACAACACACCACAATAGATGCTGAATGAGGAACGATGTGTGGCGTGTGAGGCGGTCTCTCGTGTGTGCCTGTCAGTGAATGAATTACCCGCAGAGAGATCAATTCGGACGGCACCCTGTCAAGAGCTATGATACGGATGGATGCGCCCGCCGATGCAAGCTGTGCTGCTGCTATACTGGAGTATGCCGCCCGCAAGCAATGGGCCCTCTCTCCTTCTGCCGAACACGCCTTGAAACAACGAGCCGAAGGAAGGCGCGTGGGCAGCTGCTGATTGTTTCAAGGCGTCATTGTACAGCGGAGGTCGACTCAGCGACTGCGCGGTGCCCTCACCGGAGCGATCGGAGGAAGGGCGAGCTCAGGGGGGGGTGCTTTTTCGTGAAGAGTTTTTTCATCTTTCTGCCGCCCTCCGCAGCACGTGCCATCTTGACGCCTCCATCGCACAGGTCGTCGCTTGAGGGGCCTTCCGTCGGGCCGATCTGGAGCTGGTAGGGAAAGCACAAGCAAGCTGACGCAGATGGCGTTGATTCATCCCTGGGTCTTTCCGTCCCTCTCTGTGTTCTTCCCATTCTTCTCCCTCAGGCGCGTTTGAGCGGCGCCATGACGGCGGCGGCGGCGGCTTTTTCATCATCGACTTCCGCTCACTGAGTCTCAAAGGGTGAGGGAACAGAAGGGAGGGAAGGGAATCTCGGGTATGCTTCGAGCAGCAGCCGCTGCTGCTGCTTTGTGTGTTTGTGTGGATGCAGATCTCTCACAGTGTGCACGCCACGCTGCTGCCCATGGCCATCAGAGGCGGTCGTCATGCGCTGACTGAGTGATTTGTGACGATGTCTGATTCGGTGCCCGACGACCTGTGGCGCCGGCGCATTCTGCCGTCCCTTCTCGTCCATGAGGCGGTCTGTGTCCGAGCGACCTGCCGGGCGAAGGCGGCTCTCGCGACCGCCGCTCTGCTGGTGGAGCGCATCGACGGCTCCCTCGGCCGCCACTCCCTCACCGGCCTCATCGACATCGACCGCACCGCCCCTCTCCCATTCAGCTATGTGCTGCGGGCGGCCTATGTGCTGGAGCAGGGCAGCAACGAGTGGCCTTGCGATGGGGCGGTTCATCCGGCTGGCCGCCATCTATCGGCTGACGCCTGCCAATGGGCTGCCCCTGGTGCTGTCGGCTTGGTGGCTGACAGCCCACCTTCCCAGCAGGACGGCCTTCCACCAGCTGCCCTTAGCCATGGCCATCTATCGGCTGTTCGGCCACATGCTCACATACAGCGGGACCAGCCTGGCGCTGCAGCAAGCCGACCGCGGGGCCTATCGGGTCGCCAGTGTGACCTTTCGTGTGGTGCCATTGGGTGAGCTGCCGGGCGGCCATCGCTATGCTGACGGCTACAAGCGGACCGATCCCGTCATCCGCTGCGGCTCCCTGTTCTTCCGCTCATTCTCGGCATTCGTGCTGGAAAGGCTGCTCCCCTGGTGGTCGGATGGACAGGGGGTGGGCAAGAGGAGAATGCTGTCTGCACACCTCGGCCGTGACGACCCTCGGTATGGCCGACTGCTGAGGACCGATGGCATCATCGAGGGTCAGGGCATCGCTGCCGACAATCGCGACGACTGGGGCAATCTGAATGCTGCCAATGCGGGCGATCATCGTCGTGTGATTGTGAGCGGCTGGCGATCCGGCGAGACCGTCGCTGCCCATCTGCGGGTGGGAAATGGCCGCGTCGAGCTGTACACGACCGAGGCACCTGCTGCCGATCGGTCTCATCCGCTCGCCGACCGCTACTCTGTGTCGATTGGTGCCGCCCGCCGTCTGCTGCGGCCATTCGGTCTGGAGAGTGACGTCATCGACAGGGGGACAGTCATCGATAGGGGGACAGTGGTGGGGTGAGAGGCGGTGGCTGTCTGGCGGCTGGTATGGCTGGTGCCTCTCAAGAGTTGGTGTGTATGTGTGTGTCTCTCTCTGTCCGATGACTGACGCTGACGTGAGTGCTCTACGGGTCAGCGAGACTGCTTAGAACAAATTTCCCTTAATCTCCGTCTTTATGTACACAGACGTCCGTCCATCCGAACAGACCACAGGGCACAGACAGACACACGAACGGACACACAGGCGTGCGTCCCACGCGCACGGCTAACAAAAGCCCCTCCCTCCTCCCTCCCGCCCCTCTAGCTGTCGTCACTCGCGGGACAAAATTGCAGGGAGGGATCAATCAATCGCAGCAAAGCCAAGATGAACACACTCCATGCAGCACTCACTCACCGTACGTACCCATCACCAACCAATCACAACACTCGCATCGCGTCGCATCCCACTATTGATTTACCTTCCCAGCCACGCCAGCCACGCGCCCACGTGCCCACCCGCCCCGCCCCATAGCTGGACGAGCGGATGCAATGACAAACAAAGAGGGGGAGAAAAAATGCAGACAAGGAACGGCAGACTGACGGGTGATATGACTACACGTGTGTGTGTGTATGTGTCTCATGGAAGTAGGGACGTATACGAATTGAGCACGGCACCGGCCCTATCGCCAACTGTCGGTGCACCGTCTGTCTCTGGAGGGGGGGAGGATGGGAGGGCACTGACTTATCACTCATCCCTGACAGACAGACAGACAGACGAGCAGGCAGGCAAGAGGCCAGGCCCAGTGCACACCAACAGGCAGGCAGGCCGACTGTACAAAGGAAGAAACACCCCCATCACGAACAGACCACACACACACACGGACAGCAGCAGGAAAGAGGCAGAGATCAGGAGGTGGGACGGACGGACAGGCAGCAACTCCGCCCGCCCGGCCAGCCAGCCCTGCTTATCTCCTCTTGTCCCCCGTCCTCTTGCCGCCCTCCCCCGCCATGGTCGCCTGCCGCTTGTCGGTCTCAGCGCCCCCGCCACCCACACCCACTTCCCTCCCTGTACTTGCAACATCCTGCTTGCCGGTCCATTGTGGCCTCTTTCCACCATCCTCTTGCTGTTGCTGAGACGGTGATTTCGCATTGGCGTCTTGCTCAGTGGCACCGCGGGAAGGGGAGCTATCGGCAGATGGGGGCTGGGGGGAGGGGGAGGACGTTGTGGTGCTGCTGCTGCGCGGTGTGGTCGTGACGGCCGTGTGGGCGGCCATCTTGAGGGCGGTGCTGGTCATGCCTTTGACCACCGAGGAGAGGTAGTAGTGGGGGCCGTCCGCACGGACCTTCTCCCACTGCAAGAACTGGTCCTGACAGATCAGATCGATGGCAGACGGACACGCACACATATGAAAGGAGGAAGAATTATGTGCCTGTATGTGTGTGTGTGTGTGTATGTGGTGGCTGTGCTTCGTACGTTGATCTCTTGCGCCCGGATGGTGATGCTGAACTGGCCGTTGGCTGTCTTGGTCCGTGAGTCGGATGACTGAGCCTGCTGGGCGCTCTTGAAGTGGTGCATCCGTGCGAGGTCAGACGGGATGGCCACAAACTCATCCTTCTCGCCAAAACCAGGAAGGAACTCTGACACCTACACACAACTCAAAAACCACACACACGTCTCTCGTCTCTCCTTTTGTGTGTGTGTGTGTGTGTGTGGTGTGTGGCGGGGGGGGGGGGGGG